CCAGACTGGAGTGCGGTGGCCACTCCTGGCCACCGCAGCCTTGACCTGCTGGGCTCTGGTGATCCTTGCGCTTCAGCCTTCCAAGTAGCTGGAACTACAGGTGTGCGCTATCACACCCGGCTAATGTTTTTGATTTATTGTAGAGATGAGGTCTTGCCAAGTTGCCCGGGCGGGTCTCAAATCCGCGGGCTCAGGCAGTCCACTCACCTCAGCCTCCCAAGGCGCGGTTACAGGCTGAGCCACCGAACCTGGCTAGAATATTTTAAATAGCTCTGGCATGGTGGCTCACATCTTTGGGAGGCCGAGGCAAGAGGATTGCCTGAACCCAGGGGTTCAAAATCAGCCTGGGCAAAATGGTGAAACATCTCTACAATAAATAAAAAATTAGCCAGGCATGGTGGTGCATACCTACAGTCCCAGGTAAAATATTTAAACGGGTCCCTCACTCAATTAAGTTTAAAAAAAATAAAATAAATCAAAAGTCTCTGAAAACTCTTTGACTTCAAGCTAAGAATCTATGACATTAGTTTATTATAACATGAGAACTGTTACTACCACCTTTTCTTCTTTGACCAGTGATCTCTAATTAAGCTAGGTAATTAAGCTTCAGGTAATTATATTCTTTGATACTCCATTGTGGGAAGTGTCAAGCCTGAAAAGTTGGAGTGCCCTTAAGTGGACTGCTGTAAAACAGATCAGGGTGGCCTCAGGTGTCCTCTGCACCTTCTCTGGAGTCTGCTTTGGTCTTTCTTTTTTATTTATTTGTGCTTGTGGGTTGACGTTCTCGCTGCTGCTGTTCTTGTTGAGGTGGGTGGCCTGTTCACAGCCTTCATGTCTCATGAGCTCTGTTACACTGACCTCAGCCTCAGCACCAGTTCTGTAGATGGGCTTGCATTTCAAGCTCATTTGTTATCACAGTAGTGAAAGTCCTTATGGTTAAAACTTAACATATTTTTTGGATGCTTTAACCTCTCACAGCTCTTTATCAGTTTTTCTATTTGTAGAAGCACATACAGATAGTTTCAGAAACCAAACTCTTTGTTGCTCTAAAGCAGCAGTTTCTGCCAGAAGAATGAGTTTCACAACTTGACAGGCATCTCTTGAAAGGCTACTAATACTAACCCCTTGTCCTCAATGTGTTCTTTGTAAAAACAAGTAGCAATATAAGGCCTGTCTTGTTGCATTGACTCATCCTCCTATGTGGGTGACTTATGTCTCAGACATGACCTGTGCAGCTGAGTTTTCTGGGCATACTACAGCCAGCATTGCTGCTGCTCTGTTTTTCTTTGTGGAGAGTGGTAGTTCTTCGTACAGTTCAGATGTTTTGAGAGCTATCTGTGCCTATGTGTAATTTAGTATTTAGATAACTTTTCTATTTTGTAATAGCTTCCTTCATAAACTTTCCTCTCATATCATTTCCAATAAAGAGATAATCTGATTTCATAATAGATTTAGCAGGTTAAATTTCTCTGAGTTAGCCGGGCTCGGTGGCTCAACCTGTAATCCCGCGCCTTTGGGAGGCTGAGGTGAGTGGATTGCCTGAGCCCGCGGGTTCGAGATCCACTTGGGCATCGAGACCTCATCTCTGCAGTAAATCAAAAAATCAGCCGGGTATGGTAGCACATGCCTGTTATTCTAGCTACTTGGAAGGCTGAGGCAGAAGGATCGCCGGAGCCCAGCAGGTCGAGGCTGCGGTGGCCGGGAGCG